AATCACAATATGAACAATAGCACTCATATAAATATATCTTCAGATTGCAAATGCATACCATGACTTATTAAGAGAACCAGGTACGAAGTACGTTCTTTCGTGTTTCGCTTCGTGACACCAATAATCAGACAGTCTTTTGAGGTGTTTAAGGAATTTTGCTTTCATTTCTTCAACTTCTTGCTCATATTCGTGCAAACGTACTTTGATAGCACTGTGGGACTCGATTAAATTCTTATCCATGTTCCAAGTTGCATTCCTAAACAAGTTTTTCCTCCTAAAATAAATTGTAAGAGGTTTTACAATATTTTGGAAAACCTTATTTCAAGGAGTTTTTCCTCTTTTCTTCATGAAAACTGACTTTACACTGCATTATATTGTATTAATTTTACTGCTGGTTTAATGCTCAGTATTATTCAGAACTCTAACAGTCTAATAGGAATGAATTCTTGCAAAATACAATAATCTTATTTTTTTACCCAATTTCACCTTGGTCGGCACAGCTGCAGCTCGAAATGGCCAACAATTGGGTTGTACCAGCTGTACCAGTTCTCAGTAGGACTTGGCTTCAGACTGCAAATAATGATAAAAGGAATGTTTTCATGATCCTAAACATATTGGAACTCACGGAATTGGTATATGGCTATAACTCTTTCGAGATGTTTCCTTCCAATTGTGTATCATAAAGTCACTTACTGGGCTCCATTTGCTGTTGGTCATCCTAGGGTCGCGTGCCCATCCAGTACCCTTTATGAACAATACCATGTACAACAATTACGGAAAAAAAAAATTTTATATCAATAATGTTCGGAAAAAAATAGGGATTCCGCCCTAATGTGACGTAAATGATTGAACTGGTTCTCCAAATTGGATCGACTTCCTCCCTAATATTTCAAATTGGTTTAAAATTTTGTTCTCTCAGATTGCTTATATTTTCTTCGACTTTTTTGCGCTTCTGATTCAAGGATGTTTAGGGTTTAGCCTTTCTTTTATAGATTAATCGAAAAGAAATCTACTTTGCGTAAAATTTTGATGCCACCAAAGTTTGATTCGTCTCCCATGATTTTCCGTATGCATGCTTCAAATAAGAAAAGTTCTCCGTAACCACTGGACTCGTTATATATTCGCA